ACATTGGTAAAAACAATGATGGAATTGAATTTGCAAGTCAATTTGACTGTTTGCTCAAACCAAGTGTCATATTAGTACAAAACTACATTTGAGAATAACATTAAGAAAAGTTTGCATTCATTTCTGTCATATGTGGAAATTTGCACATATGTACTGTAACTTTCTTTTTTTCTTTTTGGTTTTTGAGACAAGGTCTTGCTACGTGGTACAGGCTGACTTTGAACTCAGGATGATTCTCCTGCCTCAGCTTCCCACGTGCTGGGATTACAGGCAGGAACCACCATTCCCTGCTATACTGCAACTTTGAAGCATATTGTTTCCATATTTTAGATTATAGGCTAGAATTAAATTATTTGATTAAACTATTTGAAGACATTTAGCTCATAAACTCATTGAATGGTGCTGATTTCTTTTCACACTATCTTCCTAGTATTTATTCACTTTAAGAAAGCGACTAGTATTTTTATTTCTCAGTGTGTTTCCTAAGATAAATTAACTCCTTTTAATAGAAATTACAAATATAAAGCCTGTAAAATTAAATATATGAAATACTTTTAAATTTCTACTGAGGAACAGTATTTCTCTATTGCTTTTTGGAAAGCACTTACATTATTTTTGACTTGAAGTGTAATTACTCATGATAATGACATAAAGCATCGAAACTATTTCAGTGTTATTGACACACATGTACTGATGATTAGAAGATGAGAATTTCCAAATCTAAAAATTTGCTGTATATATGTATATATTTAAGAAAATATGTGCTGGAAAGTGTGTTTCTGATCAAAGTTTACCCACTGACCACCTTGCTAACTTCTATTTGGTATCTGGATTTGAGTTCGCACATTTGTAATGCGAAAAGTCCCTTGGCTGTCTTTGCTTGAGGGAACTTCAGAGGAGAACATCTCAATTTCCTTCTGGTTGCCTGCTGGCAGAAACTCATTACTAGGGTCAGCTAGGGCTGACCTCCAATTTGGCTCCCTTTATTAATGCAGCTCAGGGCAGAGAGCCTGTGCTGAGAGAGACAGAGAGGCAGAAAGTGGGACCAGAGATCAGGAATTTTTTTTTTTTTTAATAACCAAGTGGAAATACTTGGATTGTGGAGGTACTTGTCCTGACTACTTTCTGTTCACCTTGTTGATGACAGATGGAGGCTTTTCCATAAATCACAAGAGATGGGGACGCCTGTCACCTGGGACAGATGCCTTAGTAAAGCAGCCTATTAGGCACAGAACTTACAGCTTGAGCTGGGAAACAGCACAGCACTGCTGTCTAGCAAGTGCCTGCCTAGCAAGTGGACGGTCCTGAGTTCGAGGTCCAGTACAAACAAACAAAACCTCACAGCTTAGGGGAGAAGGACCTACATGGGGTGAAGACGTGCCTTGCCGGCTGTGTGGAGGTTTCCCTTAGGAGCAGGATGAAGGAGCAGGGACTTCGAAAGGAGACTCTTCTGGCATGGGGACCAGGAGGATGCTGCTTTCCACGGGAAGATGTTGTGGGCCTGTTTGAAAAAATGTCCCGTGTATCGAGAAGAAATCTATTATGCTCAAGATAAGGCAGAGTGGAGCTAATCCAGTTGGTGGGGAGCTAGCAAGAGGGATCCTTGCCTCCTGGTTAGGGGCCACATCTGGCAAGCACAGGAGAACTCATGGCTGGCCCTTGGGACCTCATGAGGTCTGAAGATGCCCAAACAATCTGTGAAATGCTCATCCTAACTTACCATGGTTAAAGGTCTGGCCAGGGCAAGAGATAGGACCAGGCAGTAGGCCTTTATGCGAGGCAGCAAGGTGCTAGAGGAAGCTCACAGGCTGTGCCATGGGCACCTGTGAGTAGCAGCGTTTCTATCCATGAATGATACGTTGAATTCCAGGGCCCAAGATCTAGTATTTGATTTAGGGAAGCACAGTGGTTGAGGTCTGTGGTTTTGGAAAGTTACTCAATGTTTTTATACTTTTTTTCTTGATTAGTAGTATAATTGTAGCTATCTCGTGTCTAGATGTTAAATGAGAGATAATGCCTGTAAATACTTAATAAATATTGGCTCTTATTATTGATTTGGTGCAAAAGCTACCCAAACTAGCTTCCAACATCAGTGGTCGGTGTTGGCCTAAAGCAGGAGTTGGGGTTGCAAACTGATATCCCAAGGATATATAAACCATACTGAAGAGTCTATTTCTCTTTATAAGGTCCTGAGTTGAAAAACTATAAACACATACTTACAAGTAGTAGGGAAGCCTGGCATTTGGAGGATTATTAAGGTGTGTTTTCAAATGATGACCCTTTAAAGAGTCTTTTATCTAAGTATTGATATTTTGAAAGCAAGACACAGAGCCTAGTACATAAAAATCATTCAAAGAATGTTGATTATCTTTCAAAGAATGAGGCATTATGACTATCATATTATGGAAAGTCTTCGCTAGCTTCCTTTGTAATAGTTGCAAATAAATTGGAAAGGCAGTTGCTCTAGATTGTCCGCATGAAAGGCACTGTTAGAAGGTAGCACCATATCCCAAAGTACCACAGCACAGGGAGCATACTGGGTAGCACTGGGTAGCACAGGGATAGTAGAACAAACGAAGGCTTCCACAGCACTTGTTGGCTCACTGTGGAAGCAGTAAGGGATAAGTGGTAGCAATAAAATATATTTATTATTTGCAAATGTAGAAATTTTATACAAATTATTTGCTCATTAGCTCTACTCCATTTCTATACATCACTTCTCACCTCTTTTGTCAAAATAAATTATAAAGTCATAGCGAAGAGAATTGGCCTGGATGTCTCCTTTAGCCCTGTTATGCCTGGCATAGTTTTTTTTTTTGTTGTTGTTGTTGTCAGAATAGGCAATCAATATATCAGTCAATTTGTTTTTATTGAACCATCAATACTTTGCCGTCTGTATTTGTGATTTTTGTCTTTGGCTCCCACACTGTTTTAGAGACACTATGGGAATGAGCTGGGTTGGCTAATCTCGGACCTTTGAAGGGTAATAGTCTGTGGTGAGCAATGTTAACGAGGGGATATCTTAGAATAAAGAAGTTTTGAGGAAACGGGAATTTATTAGCCTTGTAATAACACAGAAGGTACTCTAACACAGTAAAATTACATAGATAAAACTATGCGTATTACTAGTAAGAAGGATGATAAATTAGTAAAGCCTCTAACCTGTGCTTTGGTGCAAAAGGAGAGGGTGTGGGAGTGCAGTGTCTGGTCCCTTAGTTTGATTCCTAACATCGCTTCTTACTGGAGGCCCCAGACAAGCTGTCTTAGCTCTCATCCCTCTTTCCTCACTGGGAAGACAATGGTAAGAGTAGTAACTACTTTGCAGTGTTGTTGTGAAGATTAAATGAGTGAGTTAGAATCTGTAGAATGCCTCAAGTGTTATCTGGTACAGAAGTACTGTGTGGTTGTTGATCTTCACACAGTTATAGCTGACTCCTGGAGGTCCTCGTGATGGGGGCACAGCAGGAGACTCACAGAGAGATCTTTTGTTCTTTTGCCCCCGCCCCCCATGTGTATATAAAGCTTTGGATGGGGCCTAGAATTTAAAAACAACTGCTGTTTTCTATGCTTATGTGTTAAGAAAGCTTCTAAGAAAAAAAAAATTCTAGTATTTGGGAAATGGATTCAAAAGCCGAGTAAGCACTATTTCACTTTGAAAGTGTCCCAGCCATAGGCCTGGCATGATTTTAAAGCATGCACTCTCCTGAAAGTGCTGCCTTTGATGTCAGATGGTCATTAGAAGTCCCATGGCACTTCACTACGACTTAAAATTATTCCTCTTTATCTCTTGGCAAGGGTTCAATTCGAGATGAAATTCCCTTAAAGTGGTGAAGGTATTTATAGGCCCCCTCTGCTAATGCTTGTAAGTAGCTTTGTTCTGCTGGAGGAGGAGGAGGAGGAGAAGGATTCTCATCAGGTCAGGTGGCTCTAGATGGACACTCTTGTTCGCCTAGGCCAAGCTGCTGAGGCAGGCGCATTTATAAAATATGCTGTGCCATTTGGCATATGGTCTCTAATACATTCCTTTGGTAAACTGTAAATGGACAAAATTCTTCGTCATTCTGAAGTCCCTTTATGCTTCATTTTTCTGTCTTCCTTGTGAAAAACTCCCGAGTATTCTTCCCTTAATTGTTCTTTGAGAAATGTTTTACAAGAAATTTCGAATGTGGTAAAGGTCAGAAAGGCCTCCACAAAGTGCTGAGATTAAATATGATGCTAAAAAGTGACAAGAGAAACATTGGATTTGGCTCTGATAATAACAATGTGGTAACATTTAATGGCCATTCTTACGACTTCTGAATTCCTGCAGATAACTACATTATACAACATTGTTCAAAAACAGTACTATAAACCAATTAGAAAATGACTTCTCTTATACACAGTCTTGGAACCTAAGTACTATTAGGCTTCTCCGGGAAAAAACAAAACAAAACAAAACAGACAAACAAAAAAAAAACAAGCAAGCAACTATTCTGCTCAGGTTCTATTTCAAGCACTTTAAATTCAAATCCCTCTGCACAGAGGACCTCGATTCCTAGAGAGATGTCTTATCCCGGTTGCAGCTGATGTTTCTCCTTTCTGTTTCTCAGACCCTCTTCACACATTTTCTGTTTGCATCAGAAGGACTCTTTCCCGGAATGGACAGGGAGGGTGAGGTCTGCGTCTCCCGGCGGTTGCTTGGTTCTCGGGTCGCTCTGCTCAAAGCTCTGCAGCGGCTGCCCGCGGACCGCGTCTCAGCCCGCGCGGAGGGACGCAGGCGGGGGCGTGGCCTGCCCGCGGGGCGTGCCGGGGGCGGGGCTTCCCGCGGCGCTCGGCGGGCGGCGCGGCCCAGGTTGGCAGCGGCGGCTGCGGTGGCGGCGGCGGCTGTGGCTGTGGCCAGGGCCGGGCGCTCGCCGCTCTCCGCGGCTCTTCTCCTGCGCAGCTTCCGCTCGCCCCGGCCGGGGAGCGACACCTGGCAGTGCTCCTCCAGGAAACTCGAGTGTCTCGGCGGGGGGCCTGGGGAAGCGGGGCTCGCAGGTGGAGCCCGCGTCCGAGCGACTCGCGGCGCCGTCCGCCGCTCCGGGAGCCGCGCGCCGTCCGCCTGGCGGGCGGGCAGCGCGGGCGCAGGGGCTGCGCTGCGGGCGGAGACGCGGCCGCGCCATGGGCGCGCGGACCTGGCGCGTGGGCTTCCGCTGCCTGCTCCTCGTGGCTGTCTTTGGGTCCACCCGGAGCGAGGGCGTGCAGACCTGCGAAGAAGTTCGGAAACTTTTCCAGTGGCGGCTCGCGGGAGCTGGCAGGGGGCTTCCGGATTCGCCGCGGCCAGGTAAGGCGCCAGGTAAGGGCTCGGGGTCCCCGGAGCGCCCGCCCTGCGCTCCCCGGGCTCCCCGAGGTGGCAATGGGAGGTTGACCTTTTGGGCGCGCTCACAGCGTAAGGTGAATCCCGAGGAGGCCCCTGGGGACTCGGGGTGCCGCTGGGGACCCGAACTGCGCCCGCGGCTGCGGAGCTGTAGCTCAGGCTCCTCCGTCTCGCAGGATGCGCTAGAAGGAGCTGGGCAGGCGGGCATCTGGAGACAGCTGGTCCAGTGCATGTCTCTGCCAGGAGAGGGATTTTCTCAGGAGCTGAAAGGAGTTGGGCTGGTCGTCCCAAGTTGATAGAAAATACACGAACCTTCTCTGTCCTCCCTTGCTGGAGACCCGGGCTATAACTGGGGCAGCTGTCTTTTCTGTATCCTGTACCGCATCCTGTACCCTCATAGAGACGCGGCCGTCAGGGGCTCCTGCGCACCTTGGCTCCGAGTCTTCCAGGTGTGTCTCCCAGAACTGAAAGGTAGTTTCAGGTCTGAAAGATGTTAGGGCAGCAGGCGACCAAACTTAACATACTAGGTAGCCACGTAACACGAAGTAACGCGGATGAGGTACACCAGAGACTCAAAGGGGGTGAATAGTATTAGCGTGGCCACTGCAGATCGCGCTTCCTGTGAGCACAGTTTGACTACGCTTTCAGCTTCTGCACCCTATCCTCACCGCGCACATTTTTGACTACTGGCTGGAGTTCCAGGGCTTGTCAATTTGAAAGAGGTCTTAGTTGTTCAATGCAATAGCAAGTGTCTGGAGCCAAGTCAGATCTTATTGGAGCAATGCACCTCTTTAGCAGGGACGGTGAAGAAAACATGGAAATGAATGCTCAGAGATTGCTTGGTTGAACAAAGAATTTGTAGATGCTTGAGTCTAAAATACATCCACTACCCCAGTTTCTAAGGTGAGGAATCCAGCTCTGAGCTAGCACTACCAAGCTGTAGCACGTTTGCTTGATTGCTTTTCTGGCTGTGAACTCAGTTCTTTTAGTCCTGGGAAGAAAAGGTGATTATTTGGGAACATCAAATCCGCTGTGTTTACATGACCCATCTTAAACACAGAACTATTATTCGAATATCTATTAGGCATTACTAGATAGAGATCTCTTTTCTCAATCTCTTTTCTCCCTTCCTTGAAATAACATAGTTGATATTCTTGCCTCCTCAAACAAAATACCCTCTTGTAAACACCGTGTCTGTTTTTGCATTTCGTGGATTGTTTTCATTAATAAATAAATCTCACTTGGCTGCTGATACATTGAAGTGCATGTGTATATGGTGAGGATGTTGAACGGTGCAATCTTCATTTGAATTATTAGCTTTTGTTCTCCAGATGCAGTTTTGACTGAGATGTTCGGTGAATGTTGCTGCCTCCCCCCAAGGCCCTAGTTTCAGTTCCTTTTCATATCTCAGTATTTCTGGTGCCCACTTAATGCAACACACTGGCTAGAAGGCACTGTATTTCTAGAAATGTGTATGCTATTTATTTTGAAGAGGAACTTCCCAGAGTATTAATCACTGAGATAACATTTTTAGCAAGATGTATTGTACAGACAAACCAAAGCTCTGCCTGCAGAGAAGGAAGTGGTTGTCATTATTTGCACTGATAACATAGGACATGAAGTGCCAGGATGGCAAGAATCTTCTTTTCTAAGTTATTTTAGATTGTTTCACGTTGCTAGCCCTTTTAAAATCTGTGGCTTAAGCTGATGGAGTAATCACAGCGCGTCCGCTGAAGGTCCTGGGCAAGATGTACTCCTAGAGACATTGCTGGGGCTGGAGAAAGGAGCACTAAATGCCTTGGATATTTGAACTAAGAAAAAGTCACATGGAAGTGTTATCCTGACCTAGAATAATGCAAGAAAAGGCATTTGTATGACTTTGATACAACTCTTATTTTTCTTGTTTCTGTATTGTTGGTCATTCATTTGAATAATTCAATTAAATATTAAATTCTTTCTTTTAATATCTATTCCTTCTCAACTATTCCTTCTCTATTCCTTCTCTGAGAGGGTTTTGCCTATAAGTAAAAGACGAAGAAGATATGTGATGCAGGAAAGTGAAAAAATCTTTCTTAAATTAAGTAAAGTACATGTATCATATGTTTAATGTTTTTATTAATTTCTATGTTCATAGGGAATCTATAAAATTTGATATGATTGAATATAGTAATTGGATATCTTATTTTCTAAAATTATTCTCAGTCTCAAGGGAGAACATGATTAAAACATAAGTAGTCATTTCTACATGAGTATATAAATATTAATATCCCTTTAATAAATGTACTTAGCACACAGGCTTTCACTGACTAAAGCTAATGCACTAATTTGATGTTTGTTTTTCTTGGAAGTATATTTTTAATGCTTTTTTTTGCATTTCTTGCCTGCAGTGTTTAGTTCATGAGCTGTCCACCCAAAATGTCATTTTTATAATGTAAGAAAGTTGAATAACTTTTTACAATCTCTTCCTACACTTGTGACTTTTATATCTTCAATATTCAGTTTGAAATTATGATGTAGTGAGAACAGCCATTTAAGCTGGTTCTCAGATTTCCCTCACCTTTGTTCTCCACTCTGCTCCAATTCGTCTAAGCCTGTTGAGCTCCTAAGCATGTCTGGATGAGAAGTGTGAAAAAAGGAAAGAAGGTGTCGATGTGTTTAGAATTATAGATTTCCCTGTGTTCTGATTCTCTTTCTTAAGTAGTAGTCAAGGTGCTCTTTGCTCTTACTTGTTTTATTCAGAAAAGAGCTGTTAGTAGAAGTGTCTTTGAAAGGTCTTTTTGTTTCACTTACTGGGAAGGGGAGATAATGCTTTCCCATTGAAACTCCCTTCGCACACGTCTTGTTCACAGTGCATTCTTTCTTTCTTTAGAGGGTAAGTCAGAGATTCATAAAAACATGGAGAGTGCATTCATGTGATTTATATACTAGTTTTAAAAATGTATATGTTGATGCAAAACTCTACATTAGTTTGTGCAAGGTTACTGTTAGTTAACTCTGTTACTACAATGAAATACCTGAAACCCTTAGCTTACACAGAGAAAATGTTTATATAGTATTTGGTTTTCAAGCCTCCAGCCCAAGATCAAGTGGTCTCAGTGACTTGGGTACCTCCTGGCAGAGCAAAATGCTCATGTCATGGGCCAGGAGGCAAAGGGAGGAAGAGGAAGAGACCAGTTCTTACAATTCCCTTTGAGCACTTGTGCTCAGTGACTGAGGACTTATGAGCCTTTCCTTCTAGAAGCTTCCATCATACCTCCCAGTAGTGTGACTTTTGGGAAAAGTCTTTAATACACAGACTTTCAGTGGGCATTCAGCATCCGGCTGCAGCAGTGACTGTTTCTGAGAGGGTTTTGCCTATAAGTAGAAGACGAAGAAGATATGTGATGCAGGAAAGTGAAATTCTATTACCCTAACACACGTAAAGTGGCACTCTAGGGTTTCCTTTTGTTTTAACTGCTTTCCCTGTGATCAAATCTTACAATTCTTTAAAGGACAGTTTGTTTTATTCTCCTATCTAAGACAAACAGTCTACCTGGTAATGTTAGACTTTGTAATTATGGACATCTGAGTCTTGAAGCTCAGTTTTGCCACTTATAGTTCTATGTCTTGGGATAATCAGTTATCATCTTTGAACCTCTATTTTCTCAGCTGTAAAATGGGAATATTCTAGAAAGGTGGATGCAGAGGCAAAATGAAGTAAGTCATGTAAAATGACCCAAACCCGGGCACATAATGTGTTCAAAGTGTGTTCTTGTTGTCATAATTTTTATTACACATGCTGATTTTAGCTTTAGCTGGATTTGTAGGGATGAAATTTTAGTTTTAGATCTGTACATACATAGGTTTTACAATAATGAATTTTTTTCAGTCACAAATGACTATTTCTAAAATTGGGAAATATGTTCATGGAAAATGACAGGTTATAGTGAATATGTTGTGTTGCAAAGTAATATAACTCTTAAGAAAAAACAAACAAGACTCTGCTGCTGCTGACTCCTGTATCCATAGCCGTGCCCTCCACTGCTGCTACTGCCATTCTGGTTCTGTTTTTATTAAGGCCTCAAAATAATGTCTGTAGGGTGGTTTAATGTGTGGATTCACTCAATTAGATGGCTGGTAGTCACAATCACTATTGACGGTAATTTCTAATTTAGATTTTTTTCCCTAAAATTGGCACTTTTATTTTTTTCTCAAATTGAGCAGCATAGTTATGGTGAACATACTTCCATAGTAGAAAATGAGACCCATGGCTTGATATTGGGGCATATTATTAATCTTAGGACAGTGTCGTGTTGAAACCCACTATAAAGAACCACACAAGAAATAAGAGTGTAGTCCAATGAATTAGGTTCATTTTGCTCACTGCAGCAAGGGAAGATTGCACACATAGGAACCAGGAATGTCCTGGCAGCAAACAGTTGGGAGCGCTTGTTAGAGGATGTGTGGCTTGTGCCTCATGTCTGCATAAGGAGATTTTAATGAATGGGGATGATTATGGGATGATTATGATATTGGCTGTGTTGGTAACTTTTATCCAGGTGTTAGAAAGATTAAAGTGGGATTAGCTGTCATTCATAAAGAGGCAGTAGTAACTAGAGTTGGTCAGACAGGAGGATGCTTAGTCATTGTGTGGTCATAGAGTACCTTTGTCTACGTCTTGTTGCAGCACAGGTACCAAGTGATCTTGTCTCATTGTTACGTTCTTATTCTGTGCATGTTGTTTATGTTGAACAGTGACCATCACAGCCGAGTTCATGCCAGGGCAGTTTGTCACTCTCTCCCCTGGAAAGTCCTGGGTGTGTTTTGATATCTAAGAGAGTGTATGTTCTATTTTTATCCAGACCCTTAGTGAAGCTTGGTGATGAAGTGAAACTTACCTTCAACTTTAGGGCCCTAGGCTATTACTGTCTATCAAGGAGCTGTTACACTGATTGTGCCCTATTGCTCATAGTCAGTGCTCACTAGACACACACACACAC